TATTTTAGCAGAGGACTTGGATAACTCTCTTTAGAAAGAGTGACTGGTTGGTTTTTAAGGGTTCTGACCTACAGATCCACCAGGCGTAACCTGTGCTCAGCAGGTAAGAATGTGAAGGTGTGACGACCAGCGAGGCCTTCGGCTGCTTTCACACACAGATTACTTTCAGCGACCTTATCAGCCGACATCACGACCCGGAGGTCCAGGAAACGCCTGCCGTGGAGACGTAGAGGACGGTGAGCTGCAGCGCCGAGACAGTTAACCAGCAGTCAGTCAGCACTGTAATTACACTGCACCAACAACACTGGACTGTAATTACATCTGAGCTACTGTCACTGCTGCTGCTTCACCGTGTGCAAACAAAACATGAGTGGAAGAAAAAGAAGTAGAAGAAGAAGCACTAGAAGAAGAAGTGGGTAATAAATGAGTGTCTAATTTCCTATTGCATTATTTGAGTTCTCAGTCTGGTTTTACATCATCAGTCTATTCATCTCAAAGTTTTGTCAGCTTCACCAGATGGCATCAAACATTTCACAATTTCAGAATAAAAACAGGTAAATTCAGTGTCAAAACCTGTAAAAGAAGTGCACAAAATACAAACATATCTTTTAAATTTTTTTCAAAACCAGCATAAATGCAGCATCAAACCAAGTACACAAGCAGCATTAAACCAATAATAAATCACCTATCAACCATCATTAAAACCTGCATGAATCAATCATCTAACTAGAGATGCGCCGATCCGATACTGAGTATTGGTATCGGGCCGATACTGGACGAAATTACGGTATCGGATGATTTACTTCACAGTGGTAACTGGCCGATCCGATACCACCACACACACACACACAATCCTGCCTTCCGACACATCCACGTGTTCGTCTGCTCATTGGCTACAAGTTTACAGCGTCAGAGAGTGTCTGCAACTCGACTGGTCGAATCTACAAGGGTGGAACTTGTGCGGACCGGGTTGACTGTCTGAGACACTCCATTGACCCTTCAGGCTGTCACTCACCCCCAAAGCCCTCCTATTGGCCAAACTAGGTGTCAATCAAAAGCTGAGACGTCCGTCTAGCTGACTGTAACGCTTTCAGTGCGATCTAAAACAGATTCACCCTGATTTTGCCAGTAGAAAAGAATAAAACAGCCGGAGCTGATCTCAAGCTGGGAAGACATTACTTCAGAATTTGTGCCTTTGAGGATCTAATATGTTTTACGGACCGAATTATTTTACGGGACAGAATGAGACCAAGCTGGTGAGGAATGACCGATGTTTGAGCTGCAGAGAGCTTTCAAAAGTAAGAAAACTCGGATTTTAACATTTTGCTTTTCTGTACAAAAAGCTCTTTGTGTCAACGCTGTGGTTGCTGCAGGTCAAAAAGGTTTATATCATCGGAAAGAGGAAACTCTGAGCTTTCATTTGATGTGTATATTGTCGGGAAACGTGATTGTGGAGCAAGCACATATGGCTGTAATGTTTTTGGAAAGTGGTCACGTCCCGCCAGCGGGACGTGGGAGCGGTAAGGGGTTAAAAAATACTCCTGTTAAATATTTTTTTTAAAATTGGAAGTATATTTTGAGTGAAATCACCCTTGAAAACTACGTTGCGCACCCGAACTAGAAGCCGTGCACTTATACGGCCGTAGAAGACGAGTACAGCCTCTCTGTGCAGCCCTCTACCAGCAGCCTGTACGTGCGGTCTCCGGCTCTGCAGACTTCCTATTGGATCCGATCCGATCACTACGTTTCTGGCCTCATTTACTACTGCTCATGCGCAGAGCCGAGAGCGGCTATTAGTGGTACTATTATTTAATACCAAGTTTTGGTAATTTAACCTTTAAATTGCAGCTTAATGTTGCTGTGTCATTTTGATCTGTTCTAAATATTTGAATGGCACTGAGTGCACACTGTCGTCTAATTGCAGCTCAAATAAAGCAGCTGCAGTTTCGCTTTGAGACATGCTTTTGGCTATTTTTTACTTTCTTAGAAAAGCAAAATCTATGCTTTAATAGTATGAGGTTTTTGATAAAGCCATCTTAAACAAATGTATCCATGCAAATAAGGTATTTCCAAAGAAGTTTAGGAGGAGAGATGATATCGGTATCGGTATTGGTATTGGTATCGGTATTGGTATCGGCAGATACTCAAAGTTGAAGTATTGGTATCGGAATCGGAAATCAAAAAGAGGTATCAGTCCATCCTTACATCTAACCCAGGAAAATTCCAGCATGAAAACCAGTATAAATCCACAATTAGAAACAACTCTAAACCCAGTATAAAACTGATGTCTAAACCAATATAAAAACCAGTATTGAACTTAGTATAAATCCAGTACTAACCACAGCATAAGCAGAGAATTGAACAACAAATAAATCCAGGACTGAACCCAGAAGTAATCCAAAATGAAAACAAGTATAAATGTAGCACAAAATCAATGTAAATCCACCATAAATCCAGCCTTAAATCCCAGTATCAAACCATGTATAGATCTAATATTGAAGTGATGATAAATCTACACTAAAATCTGTATCTAACATCAAACCCAATAAAATTCCAGGGAAAAAAACTGTACAACTCCAATATTACGCCCAAAATAAAACTATTATTACACTTCTTCTATAAGCACAGTGTGAAACTAGTGCAACCTGTTTTAAATAAAGTTTAATTCCAGTAATAAAACAGTATAGATACGTGTAGATTCAGCCTATTTAATCCCAGAACAAACTCAGTATAAAGTATAAACCCAGTTGAAACTGGCTGTTAGAGACCTATTTGTGTGGGTGGACTGGGTAGATTAACATATANCCCCCCCCCCCACGGCCAGAGGGCAAGGGGGGATTAAGGGGGTCAGTGAATGAATGGATGAATGAATGAGCTTCTCTGTGGTTGGGTGAGCAGGACGGTCAGGGAGGGAGGGTTTCCTATTGGCCTTCGAACTGATCAGTAAACTCATCAGCGTGACTAAAGTCTTAGCCTTCAGAACTTTTGCGATGTTTCCTGACCGACTCATCTCAGTTTGTGAATCCAGTCCCCCTGCAGCTCGGGGCGGGAATCCCCTCAGCGCCAGTGTCCCACAGAGGGCAGCAAGGTCAGCCGGGCTCCATCAGATGGATGGACGGTCGGACACTGGACGCTTTGTCCTCAGACATTCCCGGGACAGAGCAGACGTTCCCACACAGAGCTGTAAAATTACAGGCTGCACTCAAACGCCTCATTATAGCAGCAGAGACAAACATCCACCTGCCTGGACCAGGAACTGTGACTGCATTCAGTCTAGAAAGTTTAGATCCTCCAGCAGAGTTTAAATTACAGTTTAGTGAGCAAACATCCAAACTGCCAAGAAGACACTGAGCCAAAAAGATGGATATTAAAGCACCAAAAAGTCAAAAACAGAGTTTCATCGCATCAAAATGTCAAAAACTGGAATAATATCACACCGAAATGAATATTATCTCACCAAAACATCAAAAACCTGAATATTCCCATACCAAAATGTCAAAAACCTAAACATTACTGCGCAAAAAAGGTCAAAAACCTGGATATGAAAGTGGTAAGACGTAAAAATGTGGATGTTAAGGTAGCAAACATTAAAAACATGAACATTCTTCTTTTTTTTTTTTTTTTAACAAAATCGCAAAAATCTGAATATTGAAGTACTAAAATGTCAGAAAGTAGGATATTAAGGTAGCAAATATTACAGCCTAAATATAAAAGCACTAAAATGCCTTGAATACTATCACACCAAAATGACAAAAACCTAAAAATAATTTCACCACAATGTCAAAACCTGAATATCATCACACCAGAATGTCTAAAACTTGGATATTAAAGCAACAAAATGACAAAATCCTGATTATCGGTGTACCAAAACCTGATGTTAACACAAAAAAATGTTAAAAACCTGGGTTTTAAGGTACCAAAACGTCAAAAACCAAAATATAAATGCACCAAAATTTCAAACATCTGGATATCAAAGCCCTGTCAAGCAAGATACTGGTCCTTTTCGCTAGTTTCTGTAAAAATGTGGCATTTTTAAATACCTTACAACAACTGAAAAGCCATCAGTGATTCAGCTGTGACCAACAGTTGTGACAAAAATGCAGAAAGTATTTGGTTGAACCGCAGGCAGTGTTTACACAGAGCAGAGAGGAGACAAGTATGGAACACAATTAAAGATGTACAGAAAAAGTCAAATATCTGCAGTATGTGGAGGCAACATATATTTTCCAGTATTAAAAACATCTGTGGACACGTGGAAAAGCATTGTACAAGTTGATTCCATTTTTTTTTTTTAATTTTGTAAAATGATTTTTTTTTTTTTTTTTTAAAGTGCCTTTTTTTCTTCTTTCATTACAATTTATGGGATTATAACTGCATCATAGAGCACAGAAGACATTTCTGAGTTCTCTCTACTTCTCATCATGGTTGTTCTGTTTCCACAGAGGTGCAGCACTTCATATTGCAGTAAAAAAAAAAAAAAAAGAGTCCACAGTTAGGAAAAATGTGTCATAAGCAAACAAAAATACGCCCAGAAACGGCCGTTTGGAGTTCAACAGGTTGAAAACAGCTCCTGCAGGTACAGAAGATTCGACAGATTGCAGCCTAGAACTCTGCCTGGAATCCACCTTCCTACAACTCTAGGATATTCCAGGAATTCGACTTTAATCTGAGCATCACACATGTATGTTTGTGGTTCTCTGATGTGATCCTGACCAGTCCTTACAGTGATCGACAGCCACACACTGAGCTGCAGATAAACCACATGATTTAAAACACTCCTCCGAGGTCTGAATGTCATCACATCCGCTCTTTTGTTCTTACTATAATCCTGATAATGACTCTGTCTCACACACACACATGCACTCAGGTAATCCACAGCTCTACCACAGTTTCAGTGGTGTTACGTAACCAGATGTTACTGAGCCCTAATCCTGGTTCTCACAGTCAAACTGCACCAACAACAACTGTGCGTTGTTGTGGCTACTGGTGTCGCTGCTTACCCAGCACAGTGGCGCCCTCTGCCTGGAACTCCGGGAACTGCCCCTCAGACGGGACACTAACGGTCCGGCGGAGGCTCCGGCCCTTCTTGGAGTCGGTGGGGCTTTCCTGAGCATCACCTGCAGCCTGAGGGGGAGGACAGGGGAGATTACTGTGTGTTATGTGGTCTCTACTGGATGGTTGTTTAACTTACAGTAAACAACTAAAATGTTAGTTAAAAGTCAAATGATTCAAAATGATTGAACATTAATGTACCAAATGTCAAAAATCTGGGTATTAATGCACTAAAACATCAAAAACCTGAATATTAATGCACCATAATGTCAAAAAAACTTGATATAAATGCATCAAAACATCCTAATTTGAATACCAAAACACCCAAATCTCTAAAATGAATATTGATGCCCCAAACATTAAAAACGTGAATATTAGCACACTAAAATCTTTTTTTTTTAAAAACAAAAAACAAACAAAAAAAACAGTATAACAATACATTGTAGTGTCACAAAACTGGACATTAATGAACCAGTATTTTACAAATCTGAATACGAAAGCACCACAAAGTCAGAAACCTGCATAATACAGCACTGAAATGTCAAAAACTTTAATATTAAATAATAAAACTTGAATAATTAGGTACTAAAATGTCAAAAACCTAGACATCAAAGCACTAAATGCAAAAAAAAAAAAACCTGGATATAAAGGTAGCAACCATTAAAAACCTGAATAATATAGCACTAAAATGGCAAAAGCCTGATTATGAAAGCACTGAAATGACAAAAACTTGAATAGTACTGCACAAAAATATTTTTTTAAAAAACAAACAAACCTGTATATCAATGTAACAAAACATTTTAAAACTAAGGCACTACAACATGATATGATATGAATGCATCAGAATGTCAAAAACCTGAATAATTAAGCACTGAAATGTCAAAAATCTGATTATTAATGCACTAAAACCAGAAAAACATCAATATTATCACCTCAAAGTAATCAGATTACTTCGAAATTGAAGAGTAGGGTATTCGCTCTGATGTAAAATTATAACCTAACAGTTCAGATTTACTTTATTAAAATTTCCGGGCTCAATGCAACTAAAGTCAGAATACTTTTCATTGCTGAGATTCTAACGCTTCATACTTCAACCTTTATTTTGAATGATAGAATCAATCCGCTGCAAAACTGGAGGATATAGAATTTCTCTTTGCTGGAGGGGTTGAGTTGTTCTAACTTTCTCTTTAAAATACTCCAAAAATGTTTTACTGGATTCAGTTCACTCCACATACCTGTCCAGGTCTTAGTTTTAACTGTTTTCTTCTTTATAACCTCTTATGTGATGTTGTTCTTTGGATGGTTCTCATGCTGGAATATTACTCTTCTTCGGGCTTCTGAAAACTGGGAGTCATCTTAACAGCCAGTGTTTTGGTTTATCCTCACACATTCATGGTGCATCTATAAATGTCATCTCCCAAACACAGTTTGCACTCGTGCAGCTCCATATCATCACTCTCCCTCGTCTGTGCTTCACTGTCAGGACTATGCATTCACTGTGATAGTCCTGGTCAGGTTCACACCAAACATGCTGGACTCCATCTGAGCTAGGGGTGGGTGACAGGCAAAAATACCATCACAATTTTTGTTTTTAGTCGAAAATCACGATTTTGAGTTTATCATGATCTTACATGTATTTTTGAGACTAAGTGCGGCTGGACCACAGATCACTCGTTGCTGAGAAAAACTGGACGTTTTGAACTTTGTGTTCAATCATTTCTCAGCATTCAGAGTAGAGACGTGGAATAGCAGTGTTGGTGAAATATTTTCGGTTGGGCAGCTCATACCGTGGGTCAACTACTTTGAGCAGGCATTTGAACCCCTCGTTTTCTACTGTCTTGAACGGAACCACATCTTTTTGCAAGATAAAAGGTAACTGCTTCTGCCCGCAAGCTCGTTCCTTCGCATCACGTGACGTACTACTTCCTGTTTGTCTCTGCAGCTCACTGCTGGTGCTGGTTCTGTTCACCGCTCCTCTTTCCCAGCGTTTATTAAATCTCCATACACCCTTTAAAAAAATATCTACATGATAAATTTTGTTGACACGCAAACTGTTTCTAAAGCGACTGCCTGCATAACTGCTCTAAGTAATAACACTAACAAAACTTGGTGCTTGTTAGCTTTCCCGCTAGTATCACTATGGCTTCCCCCTCTCTTTCCTGCACTGTGTGCCGCATGTTCACTTATGAGCCTGCCTCCTTTACAGATACTGGTAAGTGTGTTAAATGTAGCTTGTTCGTAGCTCTGGAGGCGAGGCTCACCGAGCTAGAGGCACAGCTCCGTACCATGTCTGATACAGTAGCTAGCGAGTCGCCTGTAGCCGGTACGGAGCGACCTAGCGTAGCTTCTGCTAGCCGTCCCCCGGTAGTTTCCAAGCAGCCGGGAAACCAGGGCTGGGTGACCGTCTAAAGGAAGCATAGTCCGAAGGTTAAGTCCACGGCTCACCACCCACCCCCCGTTCACGTTTGTAATCGTTTTTCCCCGCTCAGCAACACACCTGCTGAGAAACCGACTGGTCATTGGCAGCTCCATAGTCAGATACGTGAAGCGAGAGACACCAGCGACCATAGTTAAATGTATACCTGGGGCCAGAGCGGGCGATGTGGAATCCTATTTGAAACTGCTGGCTAAGGATAAGCGTAAATACCGTAAGGTTGTTATTCACGTCGGCGGTAATGACACCCGGTTACGCCAATCAGAGGTCACTAAAATTAATGTTGAATTGGTGTGCAATTACGCAAAAACACTGTCGGACTCCGTAGTTTTCTCTGGACCCCTGCCCAATTTGACCAGTGATGACATGTTTAGCCGCATGTCGTCATTCAATCGCTGGCTGTCGAGGTGGTGTCTAGAAAATGGTGTGGACTTAATAGATAATTGGACAAGCTTTTGGGGAAAACCTGGCCTCATTAGGAGAGACGGCATCCATCCTACTTTGGATGATGCGGCTCGCTTATCTAGAAATATGGCCAGATTTATTAGTCAGCAGAACCCCTGACAGTCCAGAGGTGAGACCAGGAAGCAGAGTTGCAGTCTTACACGATTCTCTGCTGCTTCCTTAGGGCTGCCACCTAGAATATATACTATAGAGACTGTGTCCGCCCCCAGACCATCCAGATCTAGATCTAGATTTTATAAGCCTAAAATTAACAGCAGAGGAGCTGTTCATAACACCCTCATCCAGATTAATTAAAACATCATCAGAACAAAAAACAACAATTAAATGTGGACTATTAAATATTAGATCTTTATCATCTAAGTCTCTTTCAATCAATGATCTAATAACTGATCAACACATTGATTTAATGTTTCTGACTGAAACCTGGCTGCAGCATGAAGAATATGTTAGTCTAGATGAATCGACTCCCCCCAGCCACATTAACTTTCATATAGCTAGAAGTACAGGCAGAGGGGGAGGAGTGGCAGCAGTCATCCACTCAAATCTATTAATTAACCAGAGACCAAAACTTAAGTTATAAATCATTTGAAAGCCTTAGTCTTAGCCTGAACCAGAAAGCGCAGAAACCCGTTCTGTTAGTTGTCGTATATCGACCACCCGCTCCTTACTCTGAGTTTCTAACTGAATTTTCAGAGTTCTTAGCTGACTTAGTGCTCAGTGCAGATAAAATCATTATAGTGGGTGACTTTAATATTCATGTAGATGATGAGAACGACAGCCTCAGCTCTACTTTTAGTTTACTGTTAGACTCAGTGGGTTTCTCTCAGAATGTAAATAAGCCAACCCACCGTTTTAATCACACCCTGGATCTTGTTTTGACGTATGGCATAGAAATTGAGCATCTCATTGTTTTTAAACAAAACTCTCTGATCATTTTGAACATTTGAATTTACAGTAATTGACCATTGTACAACAACCAAAACGCTCCATTGCAGCAGATGTTTATCTGATAATGCGGTCACTAAATTTAAGGAAACAATTCCATCATTATTTTCTTCAATGCCATATGCCAACTCAAAGGAGAGTAGCTCTAATCTTAGTCCCACACAAGTGGATAATCTGGTTGACAGGACGGCTGCTTTACTTTACTTCAATTGACGCTGTTGCTCCTCTGAAAAGGAAGGCAAAAAATCATAACAAAACAGCTCCATGGTATAATGAACAGCTGTGTATTTTAAAGCAGAATGTAAGGAGATGGGAAAGGCAATGGCGCTCAAATAATTTTGAAAAATATCATCTAGCCTGGAAAGATAGTTTTCTCAAATATAAAAAGGCAATTCGTAACACTAGAACCGCTTATTATTCGTCTTTAATTGAGAAAAATAAGAACAATCCCAGGTTTCTGTTCAGCACTGTAGCCAGGCTGACCAGGAGTCATAGTTCTGTGGAGCCTTCTGTTCCTTTAGCTCTCAGCAGTGAAGATTTCATGACCTTCTTCACAAACAAAGTTTTAAATATTAGACAAAAAATCCAGACCATGTCTTTAGGTGCAACGGCTCTGGAAGCACCCACAAAAGTAGATGTGTGCTTGGACAGCTTCTCTACTGTGAACCTCTTAGAGCTCACATCAACAGTTAATTCTTCTAAACCAGCAACATGCATGTTGGACCCCATTCCCACTAGACTGTTTAAGGAGATCTTTCCTTTAATGAACAGTACAGTGTTAGATATCATCAACTTCTCCCTACTAACAGGCTACGTATAATAAAGCCACTTCTAAAAAAGCCTACTCTAGATCCAGGTGTTTTAGCCAATTACAGACCAATATCCAACCTTCCTTTTATCTCAAAAATCCTTGAAATGCCAAATTTGAGGCGTGTAGGAGTTAACCTCTAGGAGGAGTTCGCTCTCGAAAATGACAAAAATCACCAAAAATTGCACAGTTATTTCAAAATGGCGGACTTCCTGTTGAGTTTACGGTACGGGTCCAAGAGGCTTTTTTGTGCGTCCTGATGTGTTACATGTGCCTACCAAGTTTTGCAAATGTCGGTTAAATGTCCTGCGGGGGCTAATGGATAAATTGCTGCAGGGGGCGCTATAGAGCCATTTTGCCAAACAGGCACACGTTGTCTGTCATTGAGCCAATCGTGACTCGTATGCCAATTTTGGTGAGTTTATGAGCATTCTAAAGCTGTCAAAAAGTCATTTCTGTCTCAAAGTAACTATGCGTCGCCATGGCAACACTGTTGCTTGAAAATGCAAAAGCTTTGCACTGTAGCATCGTCAACATGGGAAGACTTAGCTGACCAATTTTAAGAATGATATCACAAAGTTTGAAGCAATGGCACATGGAAGTGTAATGCCTCAAACAGCCTGTTACAATAGATGGCGCTATGACTGCGAATGGATTTGGGCATATGGATGTGATCAGGACAGCAGTCTGATCAAATATGTAAAGTTTGAGCCAGAATGGAGCATGTACAGGGTAGTTACACAGTACTTCCTCTTTAATGGCGAAGGATCAAACATCAGAGGGTTGCCATGGCCATGCCCTTTGACCTTTGCAGAAGATTTTAATAACATTTTACCTTCAAGGCGTATTCTACATGCTACCCAAATTTCAGCGCTTTGTGACTTACCCCCTAGGAGGAGTTAGCTCAGGTTGGACAAACGACCAATTCAAAATGGCGGACTTCCTGTTGGGTTTAGAGTATGGCTGTCACTGACTTTTTTGTTCGTCCTGACCTCCTCCATATACCTACCAAATTGCGTAGGTCTGGGTCAAATATGCTTCCGATGGGACTCCGTTGAAATTTTCAAGGTGGCACTATGGAGCCATTTTGGCATTGACATGTCCAACTCCCTTAAAATATCAAATTTTTCGCCAGTTCTGATGTGCGTGCAAATTGTCATCCGGATTTGAGCATGTTTAGGCCCTCAAAAATGCAATTGTTTATTCAAGAGGGTTCTACACACTGTAGTGCTCGGGCCCTAATAATCCTTTCAGTTTAATAATGGAAATGGAGTTTTTTTAGCGCCCAACTCCTCTGTTTGGCTTTCAGCCATGGCTCTCCATGCGGCTACCGCTACACACAAACAAGGAGGCAGCTAAGAAAGTGCATCACTGCCTGTAACTCGCTATGATTGGTCGGTCACGTTGACGACGTAATACGTCTGGTGCGTCGGTGCATCAGCATAGAACTGCAATTTATAGAATGTGACCTAAACAATCCATACCATCCCCTCACTTTGGCAGATCGTCTACACGTTCTAATCCTTCACGATCTATTATCGCCATATGCACACCCCTAATCTGAGCCCAACAAATGTATCTTCTGGCCAAATGATGTTCTCCAATAGTTATCAGGATTCTTTTCATGTTGTTTAATCTTCCAGTTTTGTGCCAAAGAGCAAACATTGGTGTTTTTCTTGTCCTCCGTCCATAGAGGTTGATGTTCAGAAGTTTCCTTTAAACTGTCTGAGCTTCACAGTGACTCTGATTTCCATTGATAACTCCTGTGTCAAGTCAGAAGCAGCTGCTGTCTGTTTTTTACAGCTTGATTATGAAAGTAGTTCACTGTCTGTGGAGTCATTTTAGGAGGACGACCACTGCAGCCCTGATTAGTGGTACTAAGGCTCTTTCGACACCTCCTGATTACTGCTGACCCTGTCTTTACACTGATTTTTAGCTGATTTTCCTGAATCCTTTTCCAAGTCTCAGAATCAGATTTCTAGGTTCCTCTGGCAATTCTTTTCCATGTGGAGCCATGATGCAGACATACAGGTGTGTGTTGTGTATTCACAACAGTGAATACACAACAGTATTTTTAATGTAATCCTTCTAGAGTCTTTGTTTCTGAATGTAAATACTCATCCAGAGGTGATATAGTTTGAAATAAATTGGTATTGAAGTGATATTACACAAGGTTGTACTCATGCTGATGTATCTTATGTGGGAGCGGCTGGTTCTCACCTCGTCGTCCTTGTTGAGCAGGATCAGCTGGCTGTCGGTGAGGATGCAGAACTTTCTCTCCCAGGCGCCGCTGTCAGTGTACGGACTCTGACCACAGGAGAACCGGTGAGCCGGAGGACCTTTAACATCTGAGAACAGACATGGAGCACGTTAGAAAACACAAGACAAAGGGTTTCAGTGCAACAAAACAGAGCTGCAGCAATTAATCAAACTGCAAATATTATGATGATTGGCTGAAAGTCTGGTTTTAAGTAATAAGGATTTCTACGATGACAAACCAGATATTATCATCATGAGGGTAGATTGTGGGAAACATTTCATTTCCTGCATTCTGGTGTTTTCATGCACCAATTAGCTGCTTTTCTGCATCAATTCGTGGTGGAAATGGCTTTATTTTTGTAACAAAGAACCAGATGACAATTCGAAATATAACGCAATACATGTGGCTCCAATTCCATAATATGTTCAGTGGCTGTTTGAGCTCAAAATTCATGTTTTGTGAGTTTAAAAAGGAAAAAAGAGAAAATGTCTGTCTGGGGCTTTTTTGCATTCTTTGCTACTTTCATCTTTGTCAATATTGAAGGGATTGAATCTCAGCATCCCCTCAAATTCTACATCCATTTGAACTAGAATATGTGCATTATCTAAATTTTTTTCTGAAGTAATTATTTTGAATCGGCACAAAAATGCAACACAAAGAAACAAGAACTTGCTTGAGTCACATTCTATTAAATTGTGCATTCCTAAGTGTCATGCAGCACAAAAGACAATTCTGAGTCCTGTCTCCTTCTAGTCATGGTTGTTCACTTTCCAAAGAGGTGCAGGACATTTTTTGAAGTGAAAAATTAACATACAGAGTTTAAAAATATGTCAGGTTCAATGAAAACACCCAGAAACTGTTTGAAATTCAGACCTTCCTTCCAGTTCGTTGGTCTCTAAACTAAATCTGATGGATATATAAACAAACTCTACATTCTGCTGATATGAAACTTGGTGCACAAACACATTCAAGTTGAGACATGTTGATCAGAGAAGCTGCTGAGGAGCTTCGGCATTCAGATTCAGCTCCACATGAAGCCTGCAGAACTCTGGTTGCTCCTGCAGAGGGCGCTAAGGCTCTACACTTCACTGCACCCATTGCAAACGAAAGTGACTTGTGACACACGGAGCAGACTCAGCAGAGGTCAGAGGTCATGACACTGCCAGTTAAAATAAAAGTGTGCAGCAGATTTCCCCACATGTGCAGCACTTTACTGTTTTTATTTGTCTAGTTTCAGCATCTGTCGATGCTTTAAAAATGATCACAAGTCTGTGGCAGAGCAACAAATGTTCATGGAGCACAGATTAACTTGGAGGTGTGAAACCATCAGAATGAATCCAAATAAAAAAAAGAGGGCTTCATTTTGGTGCATTAATATCCAGGTATATGATCTTCTTCTGCATTAATATACAGGTTTTAAATACCTTTGTGGCTTTATTATAGAGGCTATTGATTTTATCATACATTTTTAGGGTTTTGATGCTTCCAAGCATTAATATCCATGGTTTCAATAGTTTGGTACATTCATTTCCAGGGTTTTTTTTGTTTTCACTTTTGTGTCTAATATCCAGGTTTTTCAAAGTGATATGTTCATATCTGGGATTCTGATACTTTTATGAATTGATATCCAGATTTGTGACATTTTTGTATGGTACTATCCAGGTTTTTGATAGCTTGATACATTAAGAGCCAGGTTTTTAACTCTTGGATGGATTCATTTGCATGTTTTTATGCTTTTGTGCATTAATATCAGTTGTTTTGCACTTTTGTGAGTTATTATCCACCTTTTTGACGATTTATTGCATTGACATCCAGGTTTGGTTGCTTTGGTACATTAATATCCAGATTTTCTCTACTTTTGTGTATTAATATCCATGTTTTTTGCACTGTTGTGCATTAAAATCAAGGTTTTTAATACTTTTGCACATCAATATCCAGGTTTTTTGCACTTTTGTGAGTTGATATAAACTGGTTTTTGTCATTTCTGTGTGATAATATCCCTTTTTTTTTTACACTTGGGTATCATAATATTAAGGTTTTTGACAATTTGATGCATTAACATCCATGTTTTGTCCCTTCATTACATCAATATCCAGAATTTTTACTACTTTTGTGTGGTAATATCCTGTTTTTTCATACATGGCAGTGTTAATATCCAGGTTTTTGAAACTTTGTGCATTAATATACAGGTTTTGTCACTTTAGCTTATTGATATCCAGGCTCTTTGCACTTGAGTGCCTAAACATTCAGGGTTCTATTTTTGACTTTGGTGTGTTAACATCCAGATTTTTTCACTTTGGAACATAAATATCCATGTTTTTACAGTGTGGAACTGAGTGGTGTCATGGTTAACAACTTGATATTAACAATTAGTCACATTATAGCTTCATACCTGTTAATATTACTGATCCTATTGATCATCACAATGTGGAAACATGAGTCTCCACAGCAGCTTTAATGTTTCTCACAGCACAGAAACACTGCAGGCTTAAAATAGTCTGAATGTGCCTGTAAACTGCCTCACAGAGAGCTGCCTGTATGAGTCTGCATGTGCTTCAGACAGTGCATCAGTGTTAAGTGTTGAACAAAAGCCGTTTGTGTGTCAGCGTCTTATCGGGTAAACAGACGGTGCTTTCATGCGCCTGATTGTGCTGGGATTATTCGGCGTTGGTCTGCTGGGTAAACACTCCGCACACACTCAAATACACACACAGTTAGGCTAATTGATTATGATGGACGTTTGATTGCAGTGCAAATTCTGACGTTTGCTGTTGAGAGACGCCGACAGAAAACTGCTGGATGTGTTTATTTACACGAGATGTTAGAAAACCGGCAGATTCCCAGTGATTATAATCACAGAAGATCGAGTCTCCAGGTTTACTGAACACTGGTCTGCAGATATTAAAAAACCAAAAAAAATCAATTGCTTCACATTATATTTATCAACATTAATAATACCCTTTAACATTTTAAAATCTTATTGCAAAAAACATCTCAATGCAAAACTCCCACTAGAAATTTGAGGTTTCAACCAGTGAAAGTAAAGACCCTCTGCTATTCTTTGTCCTAAATGATAATAAATAATTATCATTGAATTTAAGGGAAAAAATGGGACATTTGAAGACATCAAGCTGCATTTTTTGCTGTATTTTGACACCTTTTTTTCCATAATCAGTAAAAGTAAACTTAACAAGTTTATTTACTTGGTTTATTAAGTCTTTGTGTTGTGCCTTTAATAATAATTTTAGTATATTTAACTCACTCACTGATACTTTTGTGTATTATTATCCTTTGTTTCAGTTTAGTTTGGTCCATGAATATCTAGGTTTTTCACACTTCAAGATTTTGGTAGTTTGGCGAATTAATGTTCAGATCTTGGACATTTTTCTGCATTAATATCCAGGTTTTTAAATTTTTTTGTAGGGTAATATCCAAGTTTAGGTAGGGTGGTACATTAATATCCAGGTTGTTGATGCTTTTGTGTGATAATATTAAAATTTGTAATAGTTTGGGGCACTGCAGTTTTGGTAAAAATGTAAATAAAAAAACCTAAAAAAATCAAAGCTTCAAGCAGCAATGGACACGTCCTCTCCATATGACGTATGACCGTTGTGCACGTCGGAGCGTGGTGAAAACGTGCTCTGGCCAGGACTGCATCAAAAATATAAAGTTGCAGGCAGAGGTTAGTTATACAGCACTTCCCGTTTTATGGCGAGTTGAGGCGGCATGTATGTTGGGGCGTGGTGGAAACGTGCTCTGATCAGGACTCTGATCACACGTGTACATTTTCAGGCAGATCAGGGCACGTATAGGCCAGGTACACAGCGAATTGGTGAAATTCCGGGGGCTGCCATTTCCCCGCCCTTAGACTTTTGCAGAGCATTTTGATAACTTTTAATCACCCAGCCCCGTTGTACGTTCTGGCCAAATTTGAGGTCTGTGGGATTTCCCAGTAGGAGGAGATACATTTTGAAAATTAGCAAAAATCACCCAAAATCTCCAAATTCCCCTTTGGGTTAAGGGTCGGAGCTCCCCAGGGTATGATGTGCTGGTGTGATACAGATGCTTCCCAAAGTCTTGGCGAAATGCACTTCTGGCAGTACTCTGCTAAAATTTTCTAGAGGGCACTATGGAGCAATTTTGCCGCTCACATGTCCCAGTTCCCTAAAATATCAAACGTTTCACTAGTTCGAATGTGCGTGCAAATTTTGGTGAGTTTTTGAGCTTTTTAGGCCCTCTGTAATGCGTTTGCTTCGTCGGAAAAATCCTTTTGAGAATCACACAGATTTCGATAGGTTCCTTGCACTTTCAGTGCGAAATTTGTTAATAACATCTCCAACACAGTGTCTTATCATCTTTTGTTGCTTGTTTATGTGATTTCTAGCCAAAAGAAACTTACTGGCCAAGTAATATTCATCATAAATCAATATCTGACAAGGCTCTGAATAATTTGGGGCTTAACTGTGCAAACACTGGAGTCTGGTTCGGTCACAGCAGCTCCTTTCAGCCAGCAGGCGCTTCAGAGAAATGTGCAGGCTAGTTGATGAATGGGATCCCGGTGAGGGTGCAGGAGGACACTGAGTTTGTGCAGAAAGCAGCTGAGGATCTACATTTTCAGTAGCCTATTTCTGGCTGCATACTAAATCATCCACGTCAGAGCTCGGGCCCAGAGCACCCCAAGAGACTCGACAGGACTCACACCTGCTACTGTTCTGAGCTGTCGAGCGAAAGAGCAGCGACCAGAGAGGAAGACAGGAAGTCTAATTGGCCGGCGTTTCTGTTGCGAGCAGCTAATGAGCAGATCTCAGGTCTGCTGCCGCCGCTGAAGGCCGGTCAGCAGCTGAGAGGTTGGCCATTGGCTGCTCGTCTTACATAACAGCTCGTACCTGCCTGAACTGCAATCCTGCTTCAGCGTCACGCAAACCTCCACAGAAGAGCTCAAACAGAGCTGAAAATACACATTGCTTGTGACTGGCTGGATCTGAAGCCTGAAAGGCAACAAACATCCTTGAGGACAAGAAAACAAGCCAGAATCCATCCAGAACTTGACCACTTCAGTAAGAGGAGCCCCAAAACCCATCAGTGGGT